TTTTTTTTTTTTTTTTTTTTTTTTTTTTTTTTTTTTTTTTTTTTTTTTTTTTTTTTTTTTTTTTTTGTCTTTTTTCTTTTTGTGGAGTACTCTCTATCTCCATACAGGAATTTCCCAACCCATATTTCCCATTTTCGAAAATGACTCGGGATGGGGAATGCACTTTCAGTCGGTACAGTGTCTTTCGCTTCTCTTACTCCGCTCTTTTCTCCTTCGTTCGTTCCTAGCCATCCAGTTAGATATGTATAAAAAGTTCTTTCACTTGGGGATGATACCTTCTCCTTTCAAGTCACTTTTAACTACCATTGGATTCTGGGTAGATAGGGTTTCTTAGGCCCCTAGGCTGGGAGAGGTTGCTTTCAGTCTTCCTTCTTATACAACCGCTTAACAGCCTTTGCATACAAGTAGATGGTTATGCACGACTTCTTGGTAAGACTATCAGTGGCCACTAATCATCATTATTGCCTTACTACATCATCGTATTTGAGAGTAAAGTAATGTAATTCTATATTTTAGATGGTTTTGGGACTGAATTGCTTACTCTTGATGCAGTCATTCCTTTGATTACATAGATCAAGACGAAACGATAGTATGTTATATGATTGGAAGGATTGATGCGTTTATTAAGGTGTCTCAAGGCTGGCCACTAGCCGATTCTCCACTGAAACTTGTATCACTCAAGAACTCAGACCATTATACAAAAGGTGCTTCCTTAAGCCTCGTTTGCAAGGTGGAGGTAAGATGGATCTTTTTAGTTTTTGTTCATTGTCTTTGCCTCTTTGATACCTAAAAAGGGCTTTGGCAAATCAAATTATTTTTACTTTTTATTTTCTATGGTTATCATTAGGGGGTATTACGTGCCATATTCATCTTCCGATTATGTTTGCATCCTTCAGAAAATGGCAAATTCCTTGGACGCACGTATTCGTCAAAATCTATCAAGCTTTGCAGACGCTGTTAAAAACATATTGAAGGAGCAAATGCATTTAGAACTCCAAGCTGACAGTGGTCTTTGACGATTAAGATCTTTGGTTCATCATGCAATTCAGGTTTCTCAATTCTACCTCCTCTACTTGTATAAGTATCACGTGATATTGCCGCTGATGATTTTTCATGCCGAAAAATTTAGCTCGATTATTGATTGCTATTATTATTATTTGCCCTTTGTGTGTATAGGCTTAAAATATTGTTGTTTTGTTTATTTATTGATATTATTTTTGTATAATTGGAATATCCAAAGCCCTATTCTTTGCGGCTTGCCCATTGCCCAAAGCGCATCCCAGTAGACAAGTGTTTAGTTTTAGGCTAAACCATTAAAAAAAAAAAAAAACCTTAATTTTGTCAAAGAAAATATTAATATTTTTTCAAAATTTGTAATATTACCTAACCTAGAAAGTACTGAATTAGAAATATTGTAAAATTTATATTGAAAGTGGGACATAGTGCAGTGTGGTGATGACCTAGAATTAAAATTTGAATTTTTATTTTTGGTCATTGTAATGCCATATATCTATTCTAAATATTAGAACCAATTTGACCATGTATCAACAATACTCAAATTACTCACTTCTGAAACAATTACAATTGTTGAATAATCAAAACCAAATCTAAATGTTGAAGACTGAGAGAACCTTCCCAAACCCAAACCCAAACCCAAATCCAAAACCAAATCCAAACCCAAACCAAAATCAAATCCAACTCCAAACCCAAACCCAAACCCAAACCCAAACCCAAATCCAAACCAAAATCCAAACCCAAATCCAAACCAAAATCCAAACCCAAATCCAAATCCAAACCCAAATCCAAACCAAAATCCAAATCCAAACCCAAACCAAAATCCAAACCCAAACCAAAATCCAAACCCAAACCCAACTCCAACTCCAACTCCAACTCCAACTCCAAACCCAAACCCAAACCAAAATCCAAACCCAAACCCAACTCCAACTCCAACTCCAACTCCAACTCCAAACCCAAACCCAAATCCAAATCCAAAACCAAACCCAAACCCAAACCCAAATCCAAATCCAAAACCAAATCCAAACCCAAACCCAAACCCAAACAAAAATCCAAATCCAAACCCAAACCCAAACCCAACTCCAAACCCAAATCCAAAACCAAATCCAAACCCAAACAAAAATCCAAATCCAAACCCAAACAAAAATCCAAATCCAAACCCAAACCCAACTCCAAACCCAAACCCAAATCCAAAACCAAACCAAAATCCAAATCCAAATCCAAAACCAAACCAAAATCCAAATCCAAACCCAAACCAAAATCCAAATCCAAACCCAAACCAAAATCCAAATCCAAACCCAAACCCAATCCCAAATCCAAATCCAAATCCAAATCCAAACCAAGGATGTCTACAGAAATTTGAAATGTATCCTCAAATGTTAGCCTCGTAACTTCTATTGAGTACCTTACATTGTTTAATGCAATCTGTAATATATATTTTCTGTTCTTTTCTTTTTTAAAATTAGTATTTAAATTTGTACCTCACAAGATGAAACGTGAGAAGCAGTGTGCCTGCCAGTTGGTTTGGCTTGGTGCAACAAAATAACAAGAATCTTCCATCCAAAAAATTGCCCCCTACCAATGATATTCCTGGATGATGAGCTCTGAGAGAGAACTTGCAATTCTAAACAAAGACATACTTGTGGGGGGGTATATGGATGGATGGTGGGAAAAGATTGGGCCTGTGATGCTCTGCTGCTTTTAACTTTTGTTTACAATGGCTGCTGTGTGCTAGTCAGAATTTGTGTTGTTGGTATTATGTCGTTTCGGCGACCTAGCAACAGCTGAGACTTCGGAGGAGGACGTGTTACCCATATCCCTGGTTTTATGCAGCAGAAAAGTTCCCGAAAGAATGGTAACAAAACCACATAGTTCGGTAGCTATTTGTGATGCACTTTGTGAATCCCATTCCTGTAGGTAATAATACAACCACAGCACAAAAAAGGAAATTAAATTAGGAAAAACAACCTAACATATCTTGGTGCTACAAATATTTCCTCATAGTACTCAATGGCCCAAATAACTCGGATTTTTAAATAATTAAAAATTCAAGAATAACCTAAACAAAACTCATCCAGTATGTACCATATCTAAAGACTTGACCGGACCAACATACAACTTTGACACAAAACACAAACAAAACTCATCTAGGGGGTATAAAAAGAATAGTTTAAACATATGGTTTCAAGGATGTTTGGAAGTAACTTTGAAATTGTTAAAATTTCTTTTCATTCAAAACCACTTCAGAATATTCTTATAATTTATACTTTGAAATGTGATTTGTATGTAGTTAAAATTGATTTTGAAGCTGCATGGATCTTGAAAGTTAAAGAATTGATTTTAACTTTTTTAAAAACCATTTCTAAACATGACTTTTGACCAAGTTTTGCATTGCATTTTATTATATATATATATATTATATAATTTGAGGAAATAAAACAGTTTTAAAGACGACACACATAGGCATCAGTGAGAAATGGTGATGATGGTTACAAGTCTAAATGATCAGATTTTAGAGGAAGAATAAATGGCTATAAATTACCTTAAACATAATCATACTGGCAAGAATGGTGAGTGATGTGAACATCACATAGTAAACTGGAGAGACTACAGCAGTGTTAAACGTGTCCAAAGCCTGCAGAATGAATATCAATGGTATTCCACTATCATCAGAATATTTAATGTCTTCATTTTATTACATACAAACAATATAAATATACATACTAACAGAAATGCTTTCTAAGATTTTGAATCAAACAATATAAATGCTTACTATTTTCAAATTTTAAGCTTCCTAAAAAATACTTATGCTCACTTTCAATTAAAATGTATTTTCTTCAAAAGTAATTTCAAATTTATTTTTTATTGAAAAGTATAAAATTTGAAATGTTTGCAACTTAGTTTGACTTATTTTTTAATTACTAAAAGTCTCTATTTCATTTTTAACCTTTCTTCAATTGGTAGTGTTTTTTTTTTTTAAAGAAATAAAGAATAACGAAAAGTAGTCCAAAAGGTTCTAAAAACTGAAAGGAAAAAAAAACAAAGTACTTTTCGTTCAAGCATTTAATTATTTTTTGAAATAAAAAAAAGTATTTTCTTTATGAAATACCAACAGAAATGCTTTCTAAGATTTTGAATAAAAAAGTGTTTTTCATTAAAAATATTTTTCAAAATTTGTGTACTTTTTGTAAATTATCAACGAGTTATTTTAAAATTTTATACTTCTCTCTAATTTTTTTTTTTTTAAATCTCTTTCAATTAAAATCTTACAGTGCTCTATTAAACTATTTCTCTAATTAAAATCTTTCAATTAAACTATTTTTTAAAAAGATCAATAAAAACAGGAGGGGAATAAACCAATAATGAATCAAAACAAATATGCATACATACCTTGTTTAAGTAGTTCACCTGCAAAATGCTACCTCCTATCACAACGATTGTAAAAAACCACGTCTCAAAGTACTTAAACTGATTCATCCCGGAGAATGTCAGCTTAAGTGCAATTCCCACTGCTTTAACGCTCATAACCTACAAATTAAATTCCAAACTAATTGAAGAAGACATGGAGAAAGTACTGAAAATGATATGATAAACATGTATGAAATGAAGCTTAGTGAGATGGTGAACCAACCGTAAGAGAACCCATTAAAGAACAAATTCCAACATAAACAACCATGTGGGTCTGTCCATATTTTGGCACATATCGAACAATCAGAACAGCAACTAGAACCAAAACTATCACCGAGTATACTAGAAAACCTGGTAACAACGAATGTGTAGTGTTAATCATCTAAAACACCAAACATGTTGTGCCAAAATCAAATTAATTATACCATACAATATGCCCTTCTTCACAATTCGGTTTCAGTTTTCTCTATTTGAACTGAACGGTTTCAATTTTACCTCACTCTTTTAACTGAAATTAATGGTAAAAATATTGTAGTTTAACTGAGTTTTATTTTACCTCTCTCTCTTAATTTTTCTGAGGTACTACAATGGAAGTTGCTGTTAAAGGGTTATTTTAAAACAAATTAAAATATTGAGGTAAAGTAAAACATTTAAAACATTTTGTGCTTAAATCAAATTAATTATACCATATAATACAATTAATTTTACCTTCCATTTTCTTCAAAATCTTAGAGATAAAATTAAAACCAAATTAATTGTAAAAAAAATATTCCAAATATATGTACCTAAAATATTGAAGTAAAGTAAAACATTTAAAACATTATTCCAAAGTCGAATTAAATTATATCCATTTGGAATATTTTATATAATTTGGACCATATAAAGGGTAGCAAATTTAATATAATAAATAAAACGGGAGAAAATAGTTCTTCTCAATAAATTTTTACCATAAATTTTTAATTTCATTGAATTTCAACAAAAACAGGCCTTGCACAAATTTAAATTGAATGAATGCATAGAATTGAAAATTGAAAATCTTTCAAAGCTGGCAAATTCTTTTTTTTTTTTTTAACTTATTTAATTTTGTACTAGACATATATTTTATATTCCAGATGAAAAATAAAATAAAATATGGTGGAAAGCAGATGACAAACCTGGCTCCGTAGCAAGCATCCAAACTTCCTTGACAGAATCAATGTTTCTCTCCTGAGGAGCATGCAAAACAATAGTTGTTGATCCCACCACACACAGAACACACCCGAGCATGCCGAAGATATGTAGCCTCTCCTCCAAAATGAAATGGGCTAGTACTGCACTGCAGAACGGTGTCGCTTCATTAAATTACTCAACTCCAGCCATGCATACCATTCCCATCAATTTATTCCAATCACCACATTACCACACAATAACGGTATCGAAATTTCGATTTTACAGATATATTGATGCCTATAATCAGTAAAATATTGATATCGATATCGACATATATTTCTGTAAGTCAATAAAATATTTAAATGAATGATTAAGTTGTTTTTTTACTTTCAAACTTAGTTTTAGATCTCGTCAAAAGTATTCATATTCATATTAGGATCAACCGAACATATTTTTTATGTTATGCTGGTATATATAAAAGATATCAGAATAACGATATTTGAATGATAGAATTTTAGTATGTATTAGAAGTACCTGAATAGTTTTAGATCTCATCAAGAGTATTCATATTTATATTAGGATCAATTGAACATATTTTTTATGTTATGCTGGTATATATAAAAGATGTCAGAAATACAGATATTTTAATGATAGAATTTTAGTATGTATTAGAATTACCTGAATATTATACTTAAAGCTCCCAAAGGAGTCACAAGAATTGCAGGAGCATAAGCATAAGCAGCGAAATTAGCAACCTCTCCAATAATCACTACACAAAATGAAATAAACTGATTATTAGCAAAAAGAAAAAAGAAAAAAGATTCAAAAGCAATCTGATGATACGTGCATCTGCCTCTATGTTTTGGTAACTAAGAAACAGAACCGAGAGAATTATATCCATTCTGTTTATTAATGAATCTGCTCTTGCTGTGATCTGCAAAAGGCTGTTGCAGTTATCCAACTCCAAATCTCTCTTTTCAACAGTACGCAACTCAAGAAGCCTTATATTGATAATTTAAACCATCGGTGATTAGAAAGCTCTGGAAAAAATGCTATGAATGATTACCATGTGTTTATGGACAGGTGAAAGAAACCTATTACAGTTGGAGCAGTTTGGTCAAAGAACATGTGTTTGTCCTCTTTTGGTAATTAATTACAAGCATGCTTCGGCTTGGACTTAGGCTCTACTCATGGTAAATTAGAAAACTCCTAATTCCAAAGTGAAAAGCAGCGGCAACTGATTTTGTTTTTATCTTGAAGCGTGCACATTCATATATATATATATATATATAAGGATGCTTCGACTTCCTAAATCTTATCTACTTGGAATTGGAAAATGAAACACCTCAAGAGATGAATCAGCAGGAAAAAAGAGAGTGCAAGTGTGATAATGCTTATCAAACACAAATGAGTGCAAGTGCGATAATATTTTCTTGAGAATGGCTGCAAGCTGTAGTAATCGAGGTTTGAATAGGATAAAATCATCGTAAGCAACCAAATAATTGAATAAGAACTTACTACTTATCATCCCAGCCCACCACATAGGCTCGTGCAAATACGAATATCCTCCAGAACCTGATGACGCGAAAAGATGTTCAATAAAATAGAAGAATTCTAGACATTATCAAAATATCGGTCCTAACTAACTACACACAAATCGCTGTCAAATCATGAACAAATTCGCTTCTACTTTTGCGTGAACATGACATTCAACCATTAAATCGAAACTGTGGAGATTGAAAATGCTAGAATCAACCAAACCTGCTCTGGTTCCAGAAGCACCGGCTTTCATGAGACCTTTCTTCTTGATAATGAAGCTACTACCGATGAAGATACTCGAAGAGACAGCGAGAATGAGGCCATGGATATTATCGGAAGATAATCCCATTGCTTATACAAAAGAAAGAAAAGATTCAGCGAAAATCTTCCGATGCCAAAATAGACGATACGTTTAGTTCCTGAGGATCGAACATAACGAAATTTCATTAGAGAGAAAGCATACGACGAATGCATTATGATTAGAGGCCGAAAAAGTTTGAGCGAAGCTAATTGCAGATAAAGGAGAATTGAAGGAAATCTAACCTTCATAGCATCAAATTGTTGATGGATTTGGAAGCTGGAGATCGAGGAAGGAACGAATTGGATCGGAAAGGAGAGGAGAGGGCGGGAGAGAGAGAGAGAGAAGGAAGGAATGGGGTATTGGAGGCGCGAAATGGCAAATGGTGAATCCGTTACATTTGTTTCTTTTTTGTTTTGTTTTAAATTTTTTTATTATTTATTTTTTAATTTCACAAAAACGAACTAGGATTGGCCACAATCGTACACTTTCGCCTCCTAATCCCACGTTTCTTGCTTGCTTTCTTTGCTATTCAATACCACAAAGCTGAAAAGGACGACGTCGTTTCATTTCTTCCCCTTCGATCTCATGTGTTGAAATTAAAATTAAATTCAAACATAATGTTAATATTAACCTAAGCTTAATGATAAGTCAGTCTTAAAATGTGGATGATTCAATCATCCACATCAACCATGGTTGAACTAAAATACTTTTTACAAAACATATTATCATTCGTATTCAATACTGCGGGTCATTCGTAGCATGATTATACCTTCTTTATTCATTACAAGTTTGGTTATTCGCCCGCCCTTATCCAAATGAATATTTTAAGAAAGCCGACAACAAATTTAAACTTTAGAAACTTCAAAACTTTTTAAAACAAATCTAAATTTTGTTAAACTAAAATATTTATAAACAAATATTAGATTTTTTTTATATATATAATTTTAATAATATGTGGGTAGGTAGATGCAAAGTTCCAAACTATATAATTTTATTTAAAATTTTGATAATAAAAAAAAACGATTTCCGTAAACAACTATTAAAGAGTAATTTAAAACTCTTTTTTTTTATTTTATTTTATTTAAGAGTATTAATGTGAAGCTTTAAATGTATTTTTTTAACAAAATATACAGCTCATAATTATTTTCTATAATTTAGCCCCAAAAAAAAAAAAACGCCCAACAATATCTAGGGGTTATTTAGAGTTCAAAAAAAAAAAAAAAAATGTGGGAACACAATCATTCCTTTAGCTAGACACTGCACAAGAAACTGTATGTACAATTAAAGCAAGGTTTTGGAAAAATCAAGACTTTCTTCAATCTCAACAATTCAAAGTAAGAGATGCAAAAGATGCTAATCTATACCCTAACCAGATTATAGCATATACAGGATGAAGATTCAAGCTGTGAGGTTCAACACTATAACTCGGTGCTCGGTTCCTTCAGAAACAATAGACCGAGCACGAAGCAAGGAGCACGAAGCAAGGCATCGTCATCCACCTCATCCAAGTCGGAACCCAAGTTCAAAATCAAAGGCTGCAGCTCTCATACCGTAGTTTGGCAGGCTATCCTACCAAGAAATTATTTGAAAAGGAAAGAGAAGGGGAATTGGGAGGGGAGAAAAGAACAAACACCAGAGAAAAAGACTAAACAATTAAGTTTTGACCCAACAAACAATCCACACTCAATTTCATCAATCGAGATGGTATCTTTTCAAACTCAAAGACATTATTATTATTATTCTAATAGGAAACAAGAACTCAGACATTCTGTGCTACAAAAAGAAGTTTATCATTCAAAGAAAAGAAAACCTGTAGCCACATGCATCGAGTATCATCATCATAGACTCATTGTCCAACATGCACTTTCTAGCTCCTTATATATATTAGAGAATCCAAACCTATAGATTTCCCTATAATTATCTTCAACCAAGCAGTTACAGACAACGTTACCTGCCATATATATATTCGCAATTCACCGCGAATAAAAACGCTTCCAAGTGAGTCAGCCAATTCTGGTCATACCCAGAAGGACGAAATTTTGATGCAATTTATCCCAGCAACATCTGGTTTCAACCGACCTTTAACAGTAGCTTTGCCTAACGAAAATAAAATTTGGGGATTGGAGGAAAAGAGGAAAGGGAAAGAGAAAAAAAAAGGAAAAAAGAAGAAAGAAGAGATATGAGGGAAGAAGATAACAGCACCACAGCAAAATTGTAGCGTAAAAAAAAGTATATGAAGTTCCAAAGTATACTAATCGTCGTGTAAATGATCCAGGACCTATAAATGGAAGCTTGCTGCTAATAACTTCCCACTGCAAAAGCATACCTTCGTGTAAACAAGAGAAAATCAACCCCAACAAACTTCGAATGACATTCACACCGTATAACCTGCATGTATATTGGATAGAACAGGTCCAATGCCCATTCAAATGATGAGTATTAAAATGAAACTCATGCATCGGCCACACATCAAAAGAACTTCTAGTGTGAGCACTATAAACCCTAACCTAAAACAGGAGGAATATTGATTTGTGTAATGGAGGAGCCCTAGGAAATATAAACTTGAAACTCATAACGAGATCAACTCTTTAGTCCCACCTACGGTTACCCTTTCAGCACCCACAAAGAAACAAATAAAAGAAAAGGAAAAATAAAGTGGCAATACCAACATACTTCAATTCCTAATGCAGCAATCCTTGTTCAAATAGACAGTGCTATCGAAAATTCACCACGTAAAGGAAGGTCATAGTTAAACATACATCAAGTAGTAAAAGAAGCTGGCTACAGATACTGGGTGTCTTGTCTCGTAGACAAAAGGACAGCAATACCAACATCAACTGAAAGAGACTCTGCTAACCTGCAAAAGATAATCAAAGACAAGAGACATGGATGAAAACTGAAAATCTGAGAACCCAAAGAAATGGAAACAAATCTTCAATCATGTAGGTAGCCTCTTCCTCAAATGAAGCAATGATGCCCTTGAATACGTCAACAAGCCAGGCTGAAATTGCTGAGCATGAAATTTGACCCTGGTTATCAAGGTACTCAAGTCCGAAATAGTCAGCTATTCTAGTAATTCACGAGTCACAGTAAAGCATTTCCATATCAAATTTTAAATGCAACTTAATCTCCTCAACGTCATTCACCAGAAATTGCAATTGTATAAAGGTGACATCGAGCATCTACGGTCAGCATCAGCCAAGGAGAACGTGAAATATTACAACCTCCATTAAACTCTAACTTCCTGTGTTAACAACCAAGAACCTATTTGTGTCAACATAATTGCAATCAGAAAAAGGAAACCCAAAAGAATCGCATTTGCTGATCTTACCAGCTAAATCAACTTTGCTCATCGTCAATTGTTTCCATTTTGCTTCGTTCCTCAACATTAGAATATTGGGAATTTAACCCCTTTCTATCCTGATCATCTCCTGGCATATCGTCTATAAACTTTGAGAGACTAGCTTCATGCCCTGAAAATATCAATCCATATCCATCAATGTTTATATGCTTATGACTCTTTAATTGTTCATCAATATTTTGATATCTTCAACCAATTAATTGTACTTACCTCCAGCATGTTCTATTGTTGACTGCTCTCCATGTTTAAATTCATTTACCTCTGTACTTGGAGATAAATTACTTTCTCCATTTTCTCCTGACATTGACCTAGACCGCTGTCTTTCGTGATGCTTTGAATGTTCAGCTATGCATCCATTATCTATATCAGTAACATGAACATGAGGCTTATCTTCAGGAGAGAGTGATCTCCTTCTACGTTTTGATTTATTTTCATCAGAACTGGTAGGAGACAGCCTGGTCCCTCTTTGATGCCCAGCCTCAGGAGATACAGATCTAGATGGCGTTCTATCATGATGCCTCAACTTTTTATCTCTGCTTCTATCTGATTTCTCCTTCCTGTGGTGCTTACCATCCACAGATTTTGACCTGGATCTCCTTCTGTTACGATGTTTTAGTTTTTCATCTCTAGTGCTTTCCACCTTATTACTATCAAGGAGATGTTTACTTTCTGAAGAACTTGACCGAGATCGCCTTCTACCATGATATTTTGATGAAGTATCATCTATATCCTCCCTAGAGTTTGATCTAGACCGCCTTCTATGTTTAGAAATGTTCTTGTCCATGCTTCTAGGTGGTGATCTTCTTTTGCTATGCTTGTCTTCCAGTGAAGCAGATCTTGACCGCCTTCTATCCCGAGTTTTTGATTTTCCATGTCGCATATCATTAATTTTTTCATCAGAATGATGTTTAGTCTCAAGAGATTTAGACCTTGATCGTCTTCTATGTTTTAGTGTGTCACCATCATCCTTTCTTGGGGATGATCTGCTTTTCCCATGATGGCGACTAGGTGATCTTAAATCAGAACGATCTGATTTCCTACCTCTTTGTGGTGAACGTTCCCGCTGGTGATTGGGAGAATCAGAATCTTCTCTATATGATTTTCTTCTGCGAGGACTTATGCTTCTACTTCTATTTTTCCTTGAGACGGGTGAACGACGACTTCTTGATCTATCTAGATCTCGCCTTCTAGATCTTTCACTAGCATCTCTCACTTCTCTATAAGCCCTCCTATGATCTTCATACCTAGAATAATGACGAGATCTCACTGGTGATCTAGATCTATGATCTCTTGAGTGACGATAAGGAGGTGAATAAGTTGGAGATCTCCGCCTGCTACGGTACTTGATAGGTGATTTTGATTTTGATTTTGATCTCTCCCTGGACAAGGAAGGTGACCTGCAAAGGGAAGGGGGAAATCAAAACTATGCTTATTAAGATGGAATGAACTCAATTTGAAGTGTACAAAACCTGGACCGTATAAACATGACGGACAACACTAAAGAAAGGCATACAAGTTCATGAGCCATTACTTCCTACCAAGGCAAAAATATGGAGAAACAGAATAATGGGGCTGATATTATTTAATAAAGGATTGAGTTACCTAAGCCATCAATGCTCATTGCTTGCATATTCAAGTATGTCAAATTTACTCAAGAACCCAGAGGTCCTTTTTCCTATTTAATTTTATAACTAGAGGCAGGAATTAGTTATTTTACTTATAGCAGAGGGTCCAGGATTAGTTGTTCCGGTATATCATACCTTGATTTTTCTTTTGTCTCAGTTTCTTCAGTCACAATTCCATCAACTTTAAGTTTTTTGCTTATTTCTGCGGCTCTAGCTGCTGCCAACTCTGTTGCGGACTTCATAGTTGCTGCACGATTAGCAGCCTGCTGAGCTGTCATAGTTTGCTGCATCAACAAAGCCTGCTGGAATTGCATTTGTTGCATGGCTACAGCTTGCTGCATCATCATCGGCAGAGAAGAAGAAGCAAGTGAAGGGTTTGCTGCAGCTGGTTTCTGTGGAAGTGACTTTGCCATCTCTACATTTAAAGGCCGACCTCCAACATCCATATTGTTCAAGGCCAAAGCAGCAGTAGCTTCTTCAGGCTTTGAGTATTCTATGTAAGCAAAATGTTTTGAATCAGTAATGGTACACTCAACAACAGTTCCACAGAAACTAAAAAGTTGCTTCAGCTGTTCCACGGTGAGAAGTGGGCTAAGATTGCTAACTTGAAGCGTTCTCTTCAGAGCATCAGCAGCCTTCCCAGATTTGTCGGATGAACCTTGCCAAAGAAACATCCATAAATAACCAGAAGCTCATTAGGAAAAAATATATACATAGTTTATGCAGTCTACAAGTTAAACAACAGTACATAAGAGGGCCAAAACATAAACAAATGCACTTGAACACACAGTAAGGTGCATAGGAGAACAGTCGCAAAAATAAAAGAGTAAGAATTGAATTATCTCAAAAACTGAGAATACCAGAAGAGTCTTTTGCAGACTGGGCTTGTTGAGCTTGCACTTGAGCAGCATGAGCTTGAAGGGCTTGAGCAGCAACAATAGCCTGAGCAGCTGCCATAGCAGCAGCAGAAGGTGCCATAGGCACTTGACTGATAGTTCCCATGCTGGTTGTCGCAGCTATAGCAGTCATGAGCAAATTGTGAGGTGGATGATTTAACTTACAATCTGTTTTTGCACATTGACCATTAAGGTATTCTCGACATACTTCGCCAAGAGAGGCTCCAATTCCAGGCAAGATAGCACCACCAGAAGCACCAGCTACAATGCCTGGAATCATTCCCATCAACCCAGGAAATGCCCCCGAAACAGACCCTGAGTAATTAGGCATGTTGGGCATATTTTGATTAACCAAATTTGGAAATGACGATGCAGGAGCTAAACCCAGGAGTCCACCAGCACTTGTCCCTGGTTAGTGACAACAAATGGCTCAGTTATCAGATAACGTTGCATTACAAAATGAAAGAAACTGATGATCCAGTAAGATATGAGGAAAGACAAAGCAATTAAGGATAACCAAGGAAACAAATTATCAATGTCTAATAAGTATCCGTATCATTTTTCCATTTCCCCTTCGCTCAAGCCCCATCTTTATTTCACTTTTATATTAAAAAATCTCAAGAACAAATACACAAATCATATGAAAAGAAGGGAAAAGCGCTGCCACACTTGCCACACTTGCCACCTGGTTCATGCAGGCAGCCCATTCCAACTAACAGAGTGAAAAACGACTTCTTTTTCCCTCTATTTGCATTCACATTCACTATCCTTCTTCTCCAACTCACTTATTCCGATGCATGAAAAATAATAACACAAGAATTTCATATCATCAAAATATCCTAATTAATTCTAAGTAACACATGAAGCATTTGGGACTCAGGATATTGTATATACTTCATAGATTTATTTTTATTTTTTTTCCTCTTTGGACATAATATGTACCTGATAAGATTAATCAAACTTTAAATCTCTAAATATATGCAATAAGAACGCATGAACATTACATAATCATAGAGTACCTGCACTAAAGAACACAGGGAATGGACTACCCATGATTGATCTTCCGTTACACTCAATATTAACCATATAATTGCCTCTTTTTGGCACCACATATGTGATCGTATATGTACCATCATTCATATCCTTCACAATGCCATCTTGCTCAGTTCCACCAACACCTACCCCAGGTAACACCTTTACTTTAATCTGTGCACCACCATGGGGAACTTTCCTCCCATCAACATCCTTAGTTACCACAGTAAAGGAAGCTGGCACACATGCTGTGCCCCCAGCTATGCCGGCTCCAGCTGCTGTGCATCTAGCAGGGTCTACAGGCCCAATGGGTTTGTGTTCCAAGTCCTCAGCATCTTCAAAATCACTATCTGAGGATGCTGCTTCTCTTGCAGGATTCTTATCTACGCCTTTAAAAGTAGCTTCGAAAGCAGCTTTGGCCGCTGCATCTTTTTCAGCCTCGCTCTTCAGTTTCGCCTCTTCAGCCTGCTTCATCCAGATTGGTTTTGCGACCACCAAGTTACGATCAGCCATCGAACCTAACTCCCCCCGATTATCAGGTTTGCAAATATCAAACCTCCAATCCAAAAAAAAAACTAAATCAAATCAACCCACCAACGCTTCCACAACATCAAAATTTACGCCACGGCACTCAAATACAACAAAACAACTGAACCCGAACAGGTCAAGAAGTATATAAAATCTCAATGGCAGGATATTGACGTTCAAACACCCAATCCCAACAAGAAACAACCCGCTCGTTTACAGAGAAGACTAAGTTTCGCCAATACTGTCCTGATAGTTGTTAGGTCGAACAAAAAACATAAAATCGGAGATTAATCCTTATACTTGCCGGGAAAATTAAAGAACAACAGAGTGAGCAATCCCCTAATCTCCCAGGAACCAGTCAGTTAACCGATCGGCAAAGAGAAGGAGCCCTAGATCTGGTGGAAGTCGGACGAATAGTAAGCCAACGGCGCGCTATCTATGAAGAATGTCGAAGGAAAACGTACCTATATTCAGCGACTGCGTTGAGATAGGGGCGCGCGATTGAATGGAGGGAACGTGGAGGGCAAGCGGCTTCTTTGAACCCCGGATTTTTCTCCTCTCTGCTTTCTAATCTTTTATATTCGTTAACTTCAAAATTAAGGCTTATTATTCCATGGTTCGAAAATTTTATTTAAAAAGTAATAATTACTAAAAATTAAAACAAATTTCTCCTAATTCAAACTAGTTTATTATCTAAAATGTTAATATATTTTATTTATTTTTAATTCACAATCCTGATGAATAAATATTTTTAAAATAGTGCAAACTCGAGTTTTTTGTTTTTCAATTTACTCTCTAAATTTTCTTCTAATTTAAAAAATAATTAGTCCTTACCATTAAAAATAAAAATGATTTTGTAATAAAAATAAACAAATATAGTAAATTTGAGAATATAATAGGTTTTATAATAAAAATGAATGCAGTAAGTCCGTAGTTTATAACCGAAGTGTTGGAAATAATAATATCGTATATCTAAAATAAATGGGTTTTACACAAAATAACAAGTTACCGAGAATCTAACTATTCAACTTGTAGAAGCTAATAGTATACTTTAGGTTTTACTTTTCGTGTATTATCACGTCTACCTACTGGTTGGCCTTACCCTCACCGTACTGACATATCACGTTTGGAAACGAGAAATGTATACGAACATATTTTTTCCTCAAAATTTATAAGAACAATGACTATATTCGTTATCAAAATCCAATTGATATACTCCCTCGGTTATGCCCTGTCTGTATTACCATAGTTGTCCACATAGAAATACAATGCACTTAAGAGAGAAGGACACGAGGTTTCTATAGCGACTCAATCGAGACGGTCGTTAACATTTATTAACACAACGTTTGAGTCCATTTAGCATGTTAATCACGACATCAACTATCAATAAAAGTTCACTTTCGTCTACACTATGCAATGGCTTTATCATCTTGAATTGCTTCATCCTCTCAAAATCCAAAGCTTGGAAGTTCTTTTCTACCTCCCAAGCCTGTTGAGACATGTCGTTCAAAATCGACTTTCGTCCTAAAGGATACAATTCCCAACTCCTTTTGTCCTCCAAACTGGTAGACTATAAGAATTTGAACGAAACCTCTCCCCTTCTTTTTTCTCTTCTACCATTTTGCTAGAACTCTCCAATAATCGGGTACTGTCTTCCCATTGGTCCCCGAGTATAAACACTTTTAGGTTGGGACACTTCAAACCATCGAGGAAAGCCACATAATGGCAATTGACTTCCCTACCCAAATGTGGCAAAACTAGCATCGACATTCCTTGCTTGAGCTAGGGGGAGCGGACCCCAAACGTGGTCATCATGGCCCCCAAACCATCGTATTCTTTGAGTTACATAGAGATTTAGAACCGACACTCTCTTGTCTCGATCCACATTCTCTTTTAGAAGCAAGATTTGGGAGCTTGTAACTCAATCTTATATTGACACTACACTTGGAAGAAGTAAATAATAGGTAACTTACAAAAGAAAAAGTTACTTCCATACATCAAGCTTCTCACAAAAAAAAAAAAAAAAAAATGCCACAATTCCAGTTTCTTTAACGAAGGCTTGGACTTTTGCTTGTTTGGCCATTAGAACCAACCAAAATTTGACACGTGTATCATAAAAAATATTATTTATTGGCCAAATAAAATATTTAACTAAATTTCATCATGCATATTGTTTCTAAAATTTAAAATTTGCGTAGAAATCTTAGCCCTTATCGAAAAATATTTTATATGAATTATTTAATAGAAATCTAATCCATACGCATAATGATAACGACAGATTAAAAATATTATTAACATTTTTAGCTTTTAAATTTTATGTCTATTTGACATTTAAAATTTAAAAAATGTTTATTACAGCTTTAACAAGTTTAAAAATTTTAAATTACTTAATATAATAAATAAAATTCTACGTTCAATTTTATACCTTTTCAAAATTCGAGATTAAATTTTAAATTTTAAAAAATTATAATTTTGAATGTTAAAAAAAATTGATAAAGTAAATTTGTAATTCAATTTATACTTTACTTATTTTTATTATTTCTTTCGTGTACAAAAATATAAAAAGCTTAAAAACTAGGACCTTAGTCTAAAAAATATATTAATTATCGCAAAATTATAGGTAGGTCCATCTCCAATATTGTTTAAACTATATATTATTATTTTTATTTGTATTAAAACTATTTAAATCGATCATTTATTTTAATTATCAATAAATAAGACCATTTTAATAATAGAGACATATCAACTTACAAATTGGTAAGACAAAGGATTGAATTAGTAAAAAATGTACAAATCTTATCCACCGAGTTATTAGTTCATAAAACTACAACTTTTTTATGTCTTGTTTGGTTGACTCTTTCGTAAAAAGTATTCAATAAATATCAATACCAAAGCATGTTATTTAAATTTTGTGACCCATAATTTGAAGCAATATTCATGCATGTTTCTTCGTTAAAAAAAAATTAATTATTAATACATATATACTTTGACTTATCCTAATAACATTATTGATATGGTTTACTTTGCAATTGAGAAGAGCCCTTCAATGTTTTGATCGTTATTCTAGTTCTCACTGTCCCAACATGTTACATTTCACGAGCACGGATTCAGTTACTCTCATTTATTTCAACATCTTCTAAATATTCTTATTTGGTGGTTTTTTCCGTGTCTCATGTGCATTAGAGACAGTCAAAGTCCCCAGGAAATCAGGGTTGCAACCCTCTATTGATCAGCCAACATTTGCCAAGTTTGATTGATATGTTGCATCGGTCTGTCGATTTGATGGACCAACTAGGTAGGTATCAAATAGTTGCCTAAGCCGATCTCTTACCAATTCCTTTTCAGTAGGTATTCTATTCGCACGAGTTAGTGTAGCAAGAATGAAGTTCTTGATTTTTGTGCCTCCTCATTTGTTAGTGCTCAAAGTGAGGTTTATACCTTTTACGCATGTATACTACTCTTGCTTTCTCGTCCTCGATCGTAGTTGGTCTTGCTTTCTCTTATTGGTTAAGATGATCGGTTGCTGCTATTAGCTACCTATGCATGTTTATTTTTTTCTCGACCATCTCTCTGCTCTCTTTTGAATTCATATTTTCATCTTTTAAAAAATTTACTACTATTTTTAACTTAGCTGATTGAATAATATATTTATTATAAAAAAAGTCCAATATTTAACTCGTGTGTTTTTTTTATTGAAATTATAATATAAAATTATTTGGTACTTATATTTATTGTCAAGTGATTGTACACAAATTAAAATTTAAACTATTATTATTATTTTTTTAAAATTGTCTTTTTAAAATGGTGTATTATCAAGTGATTGTACTCAAATTCGAATTTAAACTATTATCCATTTTAAAAAAAATATTTATCATGTTTTTATTTTTTTAAAATATATTTTTGTGATTTAATTTAAGCTAGATTTTTTTTTAATAATTTAGTTATAAAGTCATCACTTCTATAGATCCGTATAATTAAATTAATTAATGGATATGTTATATTAAATTATCGATTCCTGTTTTTTTTAACTAAAAAAGTTGTTTTTAACAAGTCAAATTACCAAATTGCCCCTGACATTTGGTGTATCATAAGTTAATTTAACATTTTACTACAATAAAATTAAATAAAAAATTGATTTAAAAAAAATAGGAATATAGGGATAAAAATTATTAAAAGAAATATAGAAAAAGGATAAACTTTATATTTATTTTAAACTACATGTCGTACAAATGACTCATTTGGACGTCCAGTATAAATAGCAGAAATACAGAGGACGGAAGATAGACGGAGAGAAACAGAGAAATGCAGTGCTCCGATTTTACCTTCTCAGGGAGCGATTCACGCTTCTACATCCCTTCGAGCCCTAGCATTACCGGCCGGCGACCAATTACTGGCCACCGATCTTGTATTTTCTTTCCCAACACTCTTCCGTGCAATTTGACGCGCTTGCCGTCTCTTTCGATCAGAGCCAAGGCATCGTTCAACGAAGGAATTGTCTCCTCCGAGGTTTCCGATGGATCCTTCTACGATTTGCTTGGTGTATCTGAGTCCGTATCCTTGGCGGAAATCAAGCGCGCGTACAAGCATCTAGCCCGGAAATACCATCCGGACGTGTCACCGATCGGCCAGGCGGAGGAGTATACGAAGAGGTTCATTCGTGTTCATGAGGCGTACGAGACATTGTCAGATCCTAGGAGGAGAGCTCTGTATGATAGAGATATGGTTGGAGGCCTTCAAGTCGCGTTCTCTGCTTGGAGACTATACGACGCCGATCAGGTATTAGTTCAGTCTATCGATTTTAATTTGTTTTCCGGTAATTTAGGGGTAATCTGGTTGAATGTTTGCGGATTTTGAAATCTCCTTTGTTGATTTTGTGTTTTCCCTTGCTTTTGAGGTGATTTCGTGTTTAATTTCTCAGATGTTTTCCGGAGAGATTAAAATGAGTGAAGTATTTGATCTCAACGTATATTTGATTTTGGATTCTTTTGAGTGAGGAAATGAAACGTCGTTTTATTCTGCCTCATGATTCTCTGTCTTTTTCCCTTTTTTTGTTTTTCTGATTGGTGGAGAGTGGTACTGTTTCTGTTGGAACAAGGTTCTTCCATTCGTTATTGTGATTTATTCTGTAATTCAGAGATGGAATGGGATAGGTCAAGCTGATGATTTCTCGATAACTTACTCCAAATATGGAATTTCGTTTCCTTTTCAACATCTTCTGTTTATATGCAACTTTTTTCACATAATTTTCTTTCAGTTTTCACTCTACTGTTGTGTTCTAGCGAGTCTGTAGAAATCTTTTTCCTCCATATAGAATCTCCAAATTTGATTTGAATTCAGGAAGCTCCAGAGAAAAGTGGATGGAGGAGTTGTTGGCAATTTCAGATATCAGAATTGAACAGAAGAAGCATGAACAAGGATTCGAGTCAAAATATGTCCTGGGGAGCTCGAATGCGCCGGCAAATGAATGAACAGGTTTGATGGAATTTTAGACTATCGAAACCACCATGTTTGACTTCAGTATATTCATACTGGAGCAACATAAGTTAATAAATAATAAGCCCAATTTGATAACAATAATTTTGTTGCTAGTATTGTCGAAGTACCATTTTCCCATTTCCTCTTACCATATGCTAATAAATTAATAAATTAATAAATTAAATATATATATTTTTAAATTTTATAATCAAATAGTTAATTTCTCAAGATAAACTTTGTATAAATTATTATTTTTCCACAGATAAAATTCTTAAACATCCTAATAGAATTATCAAATTACATGATTATTCATACTATAATTCCAATGTCGACCATATAATTTAAATATATAAAATTATCAAGTTATTAAACAATTAAACTTAAATTTAACGATAATAGTTGTAGTAGCAATAGTAATACCAATAAAATTAAATTAAAAAAAAAAACAGATGGAACGGGACCGGCTATTTGTTGCCTTACACTTATTAATTAATTGAATAAATTAAATTGTTATTTTTTCCTTTGTTGACTGAAAATTGTGCCCAAGTAATTAGGCGTGTGTATATATATATAAGTAGATTTATCGGGCCTAATTTATGTAACTGATATTCATATATATTTTACGGGATCAATAAATCTAACGAACACAACTCAACTGTTCGACTTTAAAACATAAAAATCGTATCTTATTTATGATTGGTTCTATAAATGGTACATTTATGTCTTTGAGTTTTACACCGTCAATAATCGAGCAGGTGCAGCTGTTTGATGAATGAGAATCAGCCAGTTGGTTCCACAACTTTTGGCTTCAAAGTCGAAGTGGGGGAATGACAAACGCAGTGTGTTTTCACTTTAAGGAGTGTTTGAAGCCAATTTGTTCATAAGGACTGCTTTTTAGACCAAAACTTTTACCCCACAGCTACTGTTTTAGATCAATTATGAGTTTGTCCTTTTTCTATGTTACAAAAAACACAACGTCCAGATAAGTATAATGTCTTACAAAACTTTTGCATTTTCTTTGTTAGGAGTTTAAAAAATTATCTCAAATAAGAACCTACACATGAATTTGGTCGTAGAAAAAATTGCAAGTTCTTTCACGAAAGGGAAAAGAGTGTTTTTCGAGAGCCATGGAGCTGAATCGAGGAGGGCAATTCACTATTTGAAAGGAGAACTCAACCCTGAGAAGGTTGAAATGTTGAGCCAAGGTGATAAACGACCATTCTTTGCTAACTCAACTAACTCACTGTAGAATTCTGACCTCGATATCAAAGAGACAATATAAACACGGGAGTCTACTCCTTCAAAAAAAAAATTAAGCAACTTAACTTGTGCTTAAGTTGACAACAATTATACTCGAGACTACTTAAAACATTGGAGTTTATTGAGCCAAGCACCACATCAGTGCATGATCTCTTGTTAGCCACATGAGTATGATCGAGACTTCTCAAACCAGTTTCAAATTCAACTTGTTTGACTTGACCTTTGCATATTTTTTCTTACTTTTTTATTCGACAATAATTTCTTGCATGAAATCTCATACTTATTTTTTTTATTGTTACTTCTACTAAGTAATTTCAAATAATTAGGTCCCACAAGACACTAATTAGTCCTTAGAATAGGGTTATTTTCGGAGACAGATTGCAACATCTATCTAAGTTAGAGAGGCATAGTAAAGTTAAAATGATCAATTGCAACAAATTCATAATCCCAATTAATTTTTCTCTAAAATAAATTCCCGGGAGAAAGACTTGGATACTACTTTCTTTAATTTAACATTTGATTTGACCTAAATATATCACTATTTTAATGTATCACCGACATAAAAATATCTCAAGAGTCAAGACCACTACTCTTTTTATAGATAGCTAGTTCAGATCTTGACCCTATGTTCGTTAAACTAAACAAGAAAACGGTCATTGCATTTCTATAACAACGATCCAAGGAAAATTACATATATTTAGCCTCCCCAACTTATGTTGGTGTCTAGGAGCTAATGAGAAATAAGTAAAATATAACTAAATTCTACACTTCTCTATCTCATAAATCTATCAAGGAGTTCCGTTCTAGAAATCTACCTTCCCTTTAAAAATGAAAGGCAATTGCATAATAAGCTCATGCATCTTGCCTACCGAGCAACCTCATAGGCTTGCACTTTACTTGGCTACATAAATGAATTGGGGATGTTCAGTGTTAACTGGTGAAAAGATCCACTGAATCCCAGCCCGCCAAACCAGTAGCGAGTTTGCGTGTTGATATCGAGCACGGAGCATTATCAATCACGTTAGTCACTTCAATTTGGATTTTTAATCAATATGGAACAACTTACGGTAGAGCGCAGATATCAACCGAGTCAATCGACATTGCCTCTGCCCATACATATGGCGTTGTCGTTTCCATCTCGAATCCGTGTGCCTTCAGCTTCTTCAATTTGGAAGCATTGCATATGCAGCAGCCAGCCCGCCAAACCAGTAGCGAGTTTGTGTGTCGATATCGAGCACGGAGCATTATCAATCACGTTAGTCACTTCCATTTGGACATTTAATCAATATGGAACAACATACGGTAGAGCGCAGATATCAACCGAGTCAATCGGCATTGCCTCAGCCCATACATACGGCGTTGACGTTTTCATCTCGAACCCGTGTGCCTTCAGCTTCTTCAATTTGGAAGCATTGCTGCTATGCAGCAGCCAGTCTTGGTCACAAAACTCTGACAAGTCGTCCATTTTGGGAACTAAATACGCCTGGCTTAAATGCTCCAAATCTGGATGTGGTGGCTTTGAGTGTACCTTTGACAATTTGGATCAACTTGTTAATAATTCTGTTCGACTTGTGTTCTTTACCGTATGATTTAAGATCATAGGTATTGGCTGTTACCTGCCAATTTGAAGCAGCTGGTCCAGAAGATTGGCATGATTTTACCATCTTGTGGTTAACTCTAGGATGATCAGAGGAGGAAGTGAACTTTGCAGAGTTACTGGACAAATGGTCCATGGCTGTTGAAAAATTAACAAAAAAATTACAAATTTTCATGTCAATAACCATTGCTAGTAATGAACGATATGAATGATATGAACCATATGAACGATAAGAACGAATGATCTCAAATCTTCATGACTAGTAGTAATCTCAAGAGGAACAGTTGCTCTTTCTAACCTGCACAGTTTCAAGAGGAGAGATCCAATGGATCTAACTTTAACACAACAACATTCAACTCACCAAAGATTCCATTGCCTTCAAAGTCCTTCCTCTTCACGAGATTTCGCATACTCGCAACAGATCTATGTCTATCCCTGAGAAGTTGTGATGTTATTATCGAATCAGCACTGGTATTGTCGTCTTCGTCATAGCGTTCTTTTGATTTTTCCACGTTTCCGATCTTTTGTTCAAGTTTCTCCTTCTTTTTCTTCTTTTTATCTCTTTCTTTATCTTGCTTATCTTTGTCCTTGCTTTTTTCATCCCTCCCATTCCCTTTCCACTTCTTCCCTGAATCCACCCCATCTTTAACCATTGGCTGAACAGTCCCCGCCCTACTAAACTTCGACAACTCCTCCCGTATTCCTCGATCGCCATGTTTTCCCACACAACTTTCCTCATTCTCGTCCTTTGTCTTCCCTTCACCGAAACTCCGAGTGACCTTAGCCATTGATCTATCCATCCAACCATCTCTCTCTGGAAGACAAACAGACAACTTCTCCCCCGAAAGGTTCCTAAATCCACTGTCACCGTCCTCGGTCCTCCTTGACAACTCGGGCACAATTTTGAAGGCACAAAATTTATCAGGCAGGTGGCTACCATAACTAGACTCGCCTTCACTATAACCAGCCGACTGTCCAGCATGTTTCTTCCCGGTTAGCCTGCAGTTATCCTCGACTTCAAGATCTTTCTGGTCGAGGAACTGTCGATTGTGACCATGGATTTTATCCGAAAGTTTTGACTCGTCCAAGGTTCCAGCTCTCTCTTTAACTCTGTCTTTCTCCCTGTCTCTTTTATCTCCATTCCTGCTTTTTCCCTTTTCTTTGTGATCCCTCTTCTCCTTTTTCCTCTTCTTTTTATGCTTATCCTTTTTGTCAAAAGAATAAATCAATGAGCATAAAATAAGAACACACACAAAAACGAGCAGCTGGCTACATATCATGTCAAAAACCTTTAATGTCTTATTCTGATGAACTCTGTGTTAGAATTGGTCAATCCATTAGAATAGCTTGAAGTTAGTCATGCCATAAGAATAGGCTTACTTCGTTAGTTTCCTATGAAATCGGATCTATTAGTTAATCTTTTGCCAATATAAATAGAATATGTCCTCAATAGTGTGAGGCACAGTTTTGCATAAACTTGATATGGTATCAGAGCAGAAATAAGATCCACGAGATCCATAGCCTCTGCTGTTAAACATGTCAATCCCAACAAACACAATGTCTTCTCCGTCGATCAGTCAGGTGATTAGTGTTAAGCTTACACAAGAAAATTATCTGCTGTGGTCTACCCAAATCCTTCCCTACTTGCGTAGCCAAAACCTTGTTGGTTTTGTGGATGGATCCATGCCTGCACCAAGCCAGACGATCGCCGTTGAACCAAGTGAAGAAACAGGGAATCGCAAAATTATCATCAACCCTGAGTTCACAGTCTGGTACCCCCAGGACCAGCTGGTACTCAGCCTCATCAACTCATCAGTCACTGAGGAGGTTCTCAGCACGATGGTTGGAATCACCACTGCACGAGAAGCCTGGATTACGCTGGAGCGACAATTTGCTTCCACATCTCGAGCAAGAGCAATGCAGATCCGTATGGAACTCTCTACTATCCAGAAAAAGGACATGACAATTGCTGACTACTTTCGTAAAGTAAAACATCTTGGTGATACACTTGCTGCCATTGGCAAGCGAATAGAGGATGAAGAACTCATCGCCTACATGCTGCAAGGACTTGGTCCAGATTATGATCCTCTAGTCACAAGCATTACAACCAGAACAGATGTATACACTGTCAGCGACGTGTATGCTCACATGCTGAGCTATGAGATGCGGCACTTGCGTAAGGGTACATTTGAGCAACTTTCATCTGCTAACAATGTCAATAGGATATCCATTCGTGGAGGTGCCAATGGAGGTCAAGGTAGTCGCGGTCGTAGTCGTCAGTTAAATAGTGGTCATGGACAATCAAGGCGTACTGTGAACAATCCTGGACGTCAACCATCAAAGACACAAAGCAGCTCAGGCATTGTCTGTCAGATTTGTGGTAAGCCCAATCACGATGCTTTGCAATGCTGGCACAGATTTGATCAGGCATATCAAGCCGAAAATAATCTCAAACAAGCAGCTTTGGCAACTAGTGGATACACTAGTGACACAAACTGGTATGTTGACACTGGAGCCACAGATCATATCACCAATGACCTAGAGAGGCTTACCACCAGAGAACGCTACACTGGCACCGACCAAATTCAGGTTGCAAATGGCGCAGGTTTGTCTATCTCTCATATTGGGAATTCATTAATTTCTGGTTCATCTCTTGTTCTGAAACATATCCTATATGCTCCTAAAATCAATAAGCACCTAATTTCAGTACAAAGACTAGCATCTGATAATAATGCTGTTGTAGAATTTCACCCAAACTATTTTTTGGTTAAGGACCGAGTCACGAAGAAACTCCTGCTCCACGGTAGATGTAAGAATGGCCTATACGTTCTACCGCATAATTTCAGTCAAGCCTTGCTGACAGCCAAACTTTCGAAAGAACAATGGCACAGAAGGCTAGGGCACCCTGCATCTCCAATTACCATTAGAATTCTACAAGATAATAATTTAGCTATAGATACTAATATTCCCTCTTCCTCAATTTGTAATGCTTGTCAATTAGGGAAAGCACATCAATTGCCATTTGGTTCTTCTCAGCATGTATCTACAGCACCCCTTCAATTAATTCACACTGATGTATGGGGTCCATCCATTGCGTCAGTAAATAATTCCAAATATTATGTTTCCTTTGTTGATGATTTTAGTCGTTATGTTTGGATTTACTTTCTGAGATGCAAATCTGATGTTGAGTCTGTGTTCCTTCAATTTCAAAAACATGTTGAAACTATGCTAAATACCAAAATTCGCTCCGTCCAATCAGATTGGGGGGGTGAATACCATCGGTTACACAATTATTTCAAATCCACAGGCATTGAACATCATATCTCCTGTCCTCACACACACCAGCAGAATGGGTTAGTCGAAAGAAAACACAGACACATTGTAGAAACTGGCCTTGCTTTACTCGCTCAAGCCAACATGCCTCTATCCTACTGGGATGAAGCTTTCAACACAGCTTGCTTTCTTATAAATAGAATGCCCAGCCGAACCATACAACAAGACACACCACTTCATAAATTGTTTGGTAAAAGTCCAGACTACTCCATGCTTAGGGTGTTTGGCTGTGCTTGCTGGCCTAATTTAAGGCCTTACAACAACAAGAAACTGAGTTTCAGAACTACTAGATGTATATTCTTGGGTTATAGTTCTTCTCATAAGGGATATAAATGCTTAAATAGAAGTACAGGACGTATTTACATCTCTAGAGACGTGGTTTTCGATGAAAATATTTTTCCTTTTGAAGAATCTAAGCCACCAAACAAAACCACAAATCCACATCATCCTGTTCTACTTCCAGCCTTAGTCAAACTTGCTAGTTTTTACACTGAAAATGCTCTTACAGATATTGAACCAGTTGTTAGTAATTCCCATATGAATGATGGTCAAACTGATAATATTGCTAGTGACAACTTGTCTGGTGTCAGCTTATCTTCTGCAGATAATACAAGAAGTTCAGAGGAAATTGCAGAATATGAAGCTGAGAGCAGTTCGATCAATGCTCAAAACCAAACTCATGAACATGTGTCTGATCAACCAACTGAAGCAGCTAGTCAACATCCAATGCGAACAAGGTTGAGAAATAACATTGTACAAGCTAAACAATTCACTGATGGAACTATCAGATATTCAGAAACCTCAAGAAAATTCGCAAGCGCTGTAACTATCACAACTCCGATCATAGAGACTGCTACTGAACCTCGAAACCTGCAGGAAGCCATGCAACATCCAAGATGGAGAGGAGCAATGAATGATGAGCTCTCAGCGCTAAAACGAAATGCCACTTGGGATCTAGTTCCACCCAAACCTGGAATAAATCTCATTGATAGTAAATGGGTGTATAAAGTGAAAAGAAAAGCAGATGGGTCAGTTGAAAGATTAAAAGCAAGATTAGTTGCCAAAGGATTCAAGCAAAGATTTGGTGTTGATTACACTGATACTTTTAGCCCTGTGATCAAACCGTCAACAATCAGGGTCATTCTTTCGCTAGCAGTAACCAAGGGCTGGAATATGAGACAAGTTGATATCCAAAATGCATTTTTGCATGGAATTCTGAAAGAGGAAGTGTACATGCGACAACCACCAGGATTTCAAGACTCAGCCAAACCAAAGAATTACATATGCAAGCTCAAGAAAGCCCTTTATGGCCTGAAACAAGCCCCAAAAGCTTGGCATTCAAGGTTGACTGGAAAACTTATTGAGTTAGGCTTCAAGGCTTCAGTAGCTGATTCATCTCTTTTTATTCTCAAAAACAGAGAGATAACTATCTATATGCTCATCTATGTTGATGATATAATTATTGTGAGCTCCTCTGATCAAGCAACCGAAAGGTTGATTCAGAAATTGAAAATAGATTTTGCAGTAAAAGATTTGGGTGATCTTGAGTATTTTCTGGGTATTGAAGTCAAGAAAACACGAGATGGTATCATACTGTCACAGAGACGATATGCTTTAGATTTGTTGAAAAGAGTAAACATGGAAAAATGCAAACCTATGTCTACACCAATGGGTTCTGCTGAAAAATTATTCAGAGAACAAGGAATACCCTTATCAGCTGAAGAACAATTCAAATACAGAAGTACAGTGGGAGCACTACAATATTTGACAATGACTAGGCCTGATTTGGCATTTGCTGTCAATAAAGTGTGTCAATATCTTCATACACCTACTGATGCTCATTGGGGTGCTGTGAAGAGAATTCTTCGTTATGTTAAAGGCACACTAGCATTAGGAGTGAAAATTCAGAAATCAACCATGATGTTGTCGGGGTTTTCTGATGCTGATTGGGCTGGTTGTCCCGATGATCGACGTTCAACTAGCGGCTTTGCTGTATTTCTTGGAGCAAATCTAATCTCATGGAGTTCCAGAAAACAGGCTACAGTGTCAAGATCAAGCACCGAAGCAGAATACAAGGCCATTGCGAATCTTACTGCAGAAATGATTTGGATCAAGTCATTACTGAAGGAACTGGGCGTGTATCAATCAAAGGCTCCTCGCCTCTGGTGTGACAACCTCGGAGCTACATATTTAACTTCAAATCCAGTATTTCATGCTAGAACGAAACATATTGAAGTTGATTTTCATTTTGTTCGAGAACAAGTAGCACGTAAAGCAATGGAAGTTCGGTTCATTTCATCAAGTGATCAAGTAGCTGATATCCTGACAAAACCACTGTCTAAAACTCCTTTTACTACACATTGTAACAATCTCAACATGTACAAGACTTGTTGGGATTGAAGGGGACTGTTAGAATTGGTCAATCCATTAGAATAGCTTGAAGTTAGTCATGCCATAAGAATAGGCTTACTTCGTTAGTTTCCTATGAAATCGGATCTATTAGTTAATCTTTTGCCAATATAAATAGAATATGTCCTCAATAGTGTGAGGCACAGTTTTGCATAAACTTGATACTCTGATTGTAATTGGTAAGACAAAAAAAAGTAGGAACAAAAAGAAGACATCCCACAGATTGACAACAAGATGATTTACAAAAAGCACAACGATTTTATGAACATATCCCATAAGAATTTCAAGAAAGAAACTAATTGCAAATCAACGCAAACCCAGCAATCATCCAATTACCAGAGCAAAACATGCAAGAACAGTCACTTTCAATCTTATGATTAGCACATGCTAGAAAAGAGCAACTCATGGGAGCTTCAATTCAATCAATTCATTACATAAATCGCCTACACAGACATGGTTTAGTATGATCTGAAGGGAAGTTTGCTCAACCTTTTTGGCTAGGTCTAGATCCTGTATGCTAGCTTTCTTTTCATAACCAGGTGGTGGAAATGGAAAGCATCGCGACATTGTAACGACCAAGAACAAAAATCGCCTTTGAGAAAGAAGAATTCTCGAACTACTTCACTTTTTCTTGTTGGGAATGAAGCAAGTTCGTTCCCTCCTCTGCCCATGCAGTAATTTCTGAGCTCCTACCAGAAATTCTCCCATTCAGTTGAAGGTCTTTCTCAAATTCGTTGTAGAAACCTAAGCTTCTTCAGTATGCCAAACTCATGAAAACTAAGCTTCTTCGCATGAATATTTGCACAAAAAAAGGAAAAACTATGTTAATCCAAATGGCTTCTTCAGTATGAAAAGTGGACCGCTGTATCCCAGTCTTCTAAGAAGTGCTCTTAGCCAGTCAAGAACAAGAAAATCCTCCTTGAATCCAGAGTCCATGGAAAAAATCGTCCCCTTCTGAAGATCAAAATCCAATAACTCCAGAAACTTTATGTTCCACCGATCTGTTTTCCCAAATTATGAATCACTGCCAACAGGTTTGATAATACAGTGCCATCCTCTCCCACTCCCTTTTCGTCAGTGTCCGCCATCGTTTCTAAGTCAAGGATTGAAGTGAAACTTTAAAGCTCAGCAATGTCAAATCCTCGAGGTCACATCCTGGTAAACCTGGATCTTACTAAGTCAATCCCCGCGCCGAAGCAAACACTCAACGATTCAAAATTCCAGAGAGCTAAACAAACAGGAAACAAAGAGAATCAAATGCTTCTTCAATGAGTGTGGCTGCGATTAGTTAGAATCGAGTCTAGAAATCCAATAGCAATGGAATTTTTGATCGGATTCGGCAAAAACACACTGAGAATTGAGAAGAACATTCAACAACTTTGCTTTCGATTGACGAACAAGGTAGAAGAAAAATTGCGCAATATGAACATCGATAATCACTTCAATCTTCGCACGAGTCCAAAACTCGTGAGGGTTCTAAAATTTTCCTCTGTTTTAGCAATGGAGACGGACTGTAGTTGTTCAGCTCAAGAATTTCAATCGAGAAAGAGAGAAATGGAGAAGATGCGATCATGGAAACGGTGAAAGAGAGTGATGAACAAGAACAAGAAGAAGAATAATTAGGAGAAGCAAAAATGGCGTTTGGACGAATCGCGAGAGAAAATTGATGAGTGACAGTTCTGACCGAAGAAAGAAAAAAGAGCAAAACTTGGGGCTGCGTGCAGACTAGTCACGTGGCCCAATCATATTTTGCCACGTGTGACGCGGTATTTTCCCCCCGGTTTTTCCTCCCTATTTTTTAAATATTTTATTTTCCTAATTTCTTATTTCATATTAATTTTAAACTCTCTATTTTCAATTAAAATAAATTAAATTATATACATGAAAAAAGAAAAAATATTATACAACAAAAATAAAATATTTTAAGTAAATAACAGAGTTGAGAGGTTTTTATTAATTATTATTATTATTATTTTTTTAACAATTATCAGTGGTGAATAGGGATATGCAGCTGACTCGGAAGCATTTTCCACACAATTTTTGTTGCTTCGAAGTTTGGATAACATTCGAAAAGGGAAAAATAAATGAGATTAAAAGGGAAATGGAGAGGTCGAGTGGAGAACACGCGATAGCGTGCGCGTGGGAAGAGAAAGTTTAGGATTACTGCAAAACCACTTGCCTGAGCACATGGATTCTGTATTTGCAGCTTTTACATGTGGCACCCCCCTCTCTACCACAACTCACTACAACCTCTTTCTTTCTGTCTAACACGTGTCGCCTTCTCATTCTTTCATTATTTTTTTAAAAAATATCATTTTCTTTTAATTCTCAAGCTTGGATCTTTATTTAAATTTATAGAAATTTAAAGTTATTTTTTTAAAAAAAATATAATATATATATAAAATAAGAGAAAAATTATTTAAAAAATATAATCCTACAAATTTTCACCCTATTTTCTATAAAAATAAAATAAAGGAAAATTTTATTGAAATATCGTCCCAAATGGGTGAATAAATAAATAAATAAATACCAGATAATGGGATAATAATAAATACCAGATATCTTTACTCATAATTTCAGTTTCTACCATGTCTCATGGATATCGTCCCAAATGGGTGAATAAATAAATAAATAAATAAATAATTAATGAAACATCCTAATAAATTAAATAATATTTCAAAAAAATTAAGAATTAAAATAACTAGTATTTTTTATAATTGGACAAGTTTAAAAAAATTTAAACGATTGGGCGTTAAAAATGTATGGGCCGGAGAATCGGCCCAAAACAAGCCCATTTCCGATGCTTAATTGCCCCGCAGGCTCAAAATATTATAAATTTGAAGCCCAGGCCCAAAACTAAACAGCGGTCGATTGTCAGAGTCAAACCAAGATTCTGGCGCCATATATAAACCCTTGCCTCCACTGCCCGTCGTTGAAAAACTCCGACGATACATTTCCCTGTTAGCGTCGAGATGACAAAGCTTCGACATGGCGATGTATTGAGGAACTGATGCAGAATCTACGCTTGACGACGAAGTGGAGTTCTAGTTTTTTCTGAGACATCTTCTTCAGTGTCAGCATTCTAATGCCGAACGAGCGTATGTCGATTATCAGAGTGAGAGCTTAATACTCCTTTCCCGCCATGGATGCAGTTGCTTATCGGCGGAATTTTTGCGTATGATCTTTCTCCGTGGACTTGCGCACTCTTTATTTTGAAAGGAATTTTGGATAGCAGTAAAAAGAAGGAAAGATGAGTACAGTGGACAAGATGCTGATTAAAGGTATTCGGAGTTTCGACCCGGAAAATAGGAACGTCATCACCTTCTTCAAGCCCTTGACTCTGATCGTTGGCCCTAACGGTGCTGGGAAAACTGTAATTGCTTCTCGAATTCCATTTTGATATTTAAGTAACCGGTGTTCGTGTTTGCTTTGCATTTACTATAATATATGGCGATGAAGCACCTGCTTCGTCTTAATGGCGGTGACTTGGTTTTTTCCCCAGACCATAATTGAATGCTTGAAGCTCTCTTGTACCGGCGAGTTGCCTCCCAATGCCAGGTCTGGCCACAGCTTCATTCACGACCCGAAGGTCCGTCTGTTTTATCTCTTTTGGATTTTTCATCTGTTATGCTTTGTTCGTTGATGCAATATTGGTTTTGGATGGTTGGTGAATGGGACTAATTTATCCCTATGTAAGCCTTCCAATATTCTCAGCTCATGTAGCTTCTTCATTAAATAGAGGTTTTGGATTTTATTTTCTTAAAAGGCTTGCTAGTTGGTCTCTCTGGGTCTTCTTGGACCCTTGTGTAGGTTGCGGGAGAGACGGAGACAAAGGGACAAATCAAGCTTCGGTTTAAGACAGCGGCAGGTAAGGATGTGGTATGCATAAGGTCATTCCAACTTACTCAGAAGGCATCGAAAATGGAGTATAAAGCAATTGAAAGCGTGCTTCAGACGATAAACCCACATACTGGCGAGGTGTTGCATTTTTATTATTATTAATATTTATGTTTTTTTCAAAATATATTTTTAGTTTTTACTTCACTTAGACGGATTAAGAAGGTTTCTCAAGGTAAAGAATCGAGGATTGTAGGTTGAAATGAAGGGACTTTTGTGTGAAGTTACAAAGTTTCTTCTTGCTCAATAGAAACTTGGACATTTAGAGTTTCCTTTGATGCAAGATATAGGCGAAGTAGAATTAGGGTCGAGGAATTCGACAGGGTGATGTCAGCGGTATGACAAGCGGATGGAGCTGAGAATCTAGTGGACAGTCCAAGAAATGACAATTTTTTCATAATCAATGCAGGGATGTGTTGGAAGTGTGAAAACTACATCTTATGATGGATAAAAGTGGATTTTCAATTCAGAAGGAAGGGATATGGAGATTTGAAGGAAGTTTAAACAATTAGAGTGTAATTTTCTGGTAAAGGAGTTGAGGAACATAGGTTTAAGAGGAAAGAGGCAAACAAAGAGTGGGAAAGTCAATCGGAGTAAGGTGGTTGAACTTGATGTTTCGAGACAAGTGAAGAAGACAGAAGTAGTAGTTGACCAAATTGAGGGAAGCAGGCATAGGGCTTCAACGAAATTAGTTGGGAGAAAGCATTAGTTATTTGTATTTCTTCCATAATTGTTGATATGATATTTTGGAATCCCTGAAGTATACACTCTTTGAAGCTTTCACATTGACTCGATAAGTTGCCAATATGGATTTATGAAAAGGGCATAAATAGAAAGTGATGGCTCTCTCTTTGTTTGCCTTGTGGTTTCTTCATTGATGTCAAGAGGGTGTCCTTGCTTTTGTTTGAATTCTTGTACAATCTCTTGGTTCAACTTTTCATTTTAACGTTTTCACTACTTTCATTTCAACGTTTCATGGAAATTGTCATTTTCCCTTTTCTTAAAAGGAGCATTCCAATGTTTTCTTATAGAGCTTTCTATGTTTTCTTCTCATAGAAGCGAGGCACCCTCTTCCTGATGTAAATATTGACTTAATATTATCAGATTGTGTATGCCGTTAATAGTTTTGGTTGTTTTTAAATGAGGTAGGTAAATAGCAATGGTGCAGTTATTGTTGTCTGTGCTTCTGATCATGCGTACTTGTTTGACGGAGTAATGGAAAGAGGATGTGGTGATTTAAGCTTTATGCTTTTGATTAAATTTTGACATCCTTAATTCCAGTTATCACTGTTTCTGTTGTTGTAAAATTGCAGAAAGTTTGTCTCAGCTATAGATGTGCAGACATGGATAGGGAGATTCCTGCTTTAATGGGTGTGTCAAAGGCTATTCTGGAAAATGTAATATTTGTTCACCAAGATGAAGCTAACTGGCCATTGCAAGATCCTTCAACATTAAAGAAGAAATTTGATGATATCTTCTCTGCTACAAGGTACTGTTTCTATGTTTCCATGAAGTTGAAGTCTTTTGATGACTTGTCTTGACGTAATAAATAATTTGGCTAAATTATGCCCTTAAAATAGTAAATATATACAACATCGAATCCTCAAATGGAGGACTGTCATTGGCCAGACCAAGCGCTAACTTGTATTCAAGTTAAGACTAAATTGTCAATATCTTCTCTCTCTCTCTCAATAAAAACATTTATGACAAATTATCACCAGATGGTCACTTATCTATTTCGTATGATGCATAAATACTTTTTCTTTGCTGTTCTTAGGGATCTGTTGACTTTCACTCTAGCCTCACAAGTCCTTGCTAAGTTTATTTATATTATTACCTTTGGGAAATTTGACTTGTCAATGTATTGGAAAGCCTCTTTTCACATTCGTGGTCTCTGGTCTTTGATTTGCACTTATTCTTCCTGACCTTCTATGCTTGGGGGGACGGTGATTGATGACATAAGTCATATTTTAATTTTGGAGCATATTAATGACCAGATATACAAAGGCATTGGAGGTCATAAAGAAGCTTCACAAGGATCAGGCTCATGAAATAAAGACTTACAAACTAAAGTTGGAGAATCTTCAAACTTTAAAAGATGCAGCATATAAGGTTCTTGTTCATGTTTTTGATTCTAGAATATTGATGTCGAACCCTCCAATTTACGGAGATATCGATGGATATTTCCATTCTTTATAGAGCAACTCTTCTCTCTCTTGTTACTGAATAGCGGTACACAACCATTAGCGACCCATTCTTTTGTGGTCCTATGATCTGTCCTTCAAGTTTTTATTTGATATTTTAAGTGTGAAAGAGAGAAGGATGTTAGATATCTTCTGTACTTGGGCAAAGGAGTTGTCTTGCTGACATATTATCTCACTATTACAGCTCAGGGAAAGCATTTCTCAAGATCAGGAAAAAACAGAATCTGTTAAAAGTCAAATGCAGGAACTGGAGAAGAACATCCAAGATGTTGATGCCAAAATTCATCATGCTGAAACACTTCTGAAAGATGTGCGAAAACTACAGGACCAAATATCTACTAAGACTGCCGAAAGAAGCACTTTATTTAAGGAGCAGCAGAAGCAATATGCTGCTCTCGCTGAGGAGAATGAAGGTCAGTTCTAGTTGGAGAGGAATAAATAGTTTCAAATTTCTTGATAAGTTATAGGAACTTGGTAAAGAAATGGGAGGATAAGCATCCTTCGTTTAGTTCATATAGAATAAGAAATTACTGAATGCAACAATATATTCGATCATTAACAATGTTTAAGAGTGGTTGAATTTGTTTGTTTCATTGTTT